AGAAGCACTTTTAAACAATATAAAGATGTATCATATACATTCTGAATAAAACAATTCAATATCTAACATATATATACATTGATTCTACCATTTCGCTTCTAAATAGAAATACAAATCACTCTTCTATTACAGTTTGTAATCTCTCAAGAGAACTTTACACACATATCGAGTTGAATCATGAAACAATGTTAAATAAAAAAAAAAATACATTTCCTAGGAATAATTTTTCAAAATACAGAATGAAAATAAATAGTGAACTTAAGATGTATATAAATTCTTATAACACATTTATCATCATCACCTTTATATTCAGCACTATTATCATTATCATCATCATGACTACTTCAGTTATTACTGATTACCGACTTTTTACATTAAAGCTAATTTACTATATATCCATAGGTCCACACTATTTATTCAGGGCTTATTGTACACCAGGGCATCGTTTCATAAAAACCGTCACCAGTACAAGTTTGCCCGACATCCTATTGAAACGCGTGTTAATTTCAATGTACACGTTTCGATGGGATGTCTGTGAACTTGTACTTGTGACGGTTCCATGAAATGCTGCCCAGGCTACTACTTAAATTTTTAGCATTGCAGGGGTCCAGAGTTTCTAGACGCTCCAGATAAATAGACGGTTAATATATTGGATGACAGAAATGCCTGTAACCTATAACAGGGTATACCAGAAAGAAAAATATTAATATCCCAAATAAATTATTTCTCAGTACTATTCAGCCATGTTCAAGTACCTAATTGTGTGACCTAACATATGATCTGGCAACAATTTCTTTGGGCTGTATTTTGTCCAAGGTTTAGGGTTAGAAGTTGGTTTTAGGTTTAGGGTAAGGGTTGATGTCAAATAACCTTCCTATTGCTATAAAATAAATCTACACACATTGCTATCAATAAGAAAACTCCATGTGGTCCTCCATGCACACTCACGAACAGACGAGGGGGGAGAGAGAATAAATCCTTGTGAAATTACAAAAACCTGAACTTAACATGTACCTTATATCAAATAGGTATTTATTGTTAGAATACAAAGGGCAGGGTGAAATTCGCTGGCCCAAACATATGAACAAGTAAATTTATCAATAGGAATCAGGCAATGATTGTTAACAATATAAATGCACATTTTCCCCTTCAGCTATTTTCATAACTCTATTTTTTTTTCTCAAGGTTTCATAGCAATCATAAAAATTATCCAAATCCATCAAGAGGCCGAGCATTTACAGAGCCCAGCAAATATGCAATTTCTTTTTAAATGTAAAGTACAAAACAACCACAGCCTTTTACAAGAAATGAATATGAGAATAAATCTACAACAGATTGTGTTAAAAAATGCATAATTCTGCCCTACAAGTCAATTGCAACCATATACATGCAAGTGTGTAATATAATATATTTCAGTCTCGGTTTTACATGTTTTCCTCAAAGTTAAAAATAAATGTATTGAGAATTTGAGCTCATTATGTCTCAAAGTATGGCATTTTTTTAAAAATAGGCCTTACATTAGAAAAATGTAAACATACATTTGTTTATGTAATGTTACATGATCATTCTTCATAATTTAGGTTATTTTCTCAGCTTCATAGCCATAAATAATGATCTTCAATATTTTGTTTCATTTAAACAATTTTTCCCTCAGCATGATTTATCAAATACAGGTAGAAATTACAAAAGACAAGGAAACTATGACAAGAAAAAAAAAGTAAAAGAAAGAGCGTCGATGTGCTGAAAGAAATTTGTTTACAAAATTGCCCTGATTTGTTGTAATAGTATATACATGTACTTGAAGCACCATAGAAAACCATCATCATTTGAGCAAATCAGAAAGCATAAAAGTACACAAACATGTACCCTGCTTGTTAGAAAGACGTTGGCTCGCTTACAGAAACAGTTTCATATTGGAGAAAAAGTTGATTTCTCAGTAAGGTGAACATAACCAGGGGTGATAGTGAGCACTAAAAAAAAAACAGGTTTTTTGTTTTCCCCTCAACCACGCCCCCCTTGAGTAAAAAAAAAAAAAAAAAGAGGATTCGCGGGGGGAAATGGCATCTAACAACATTCCCCCCTTTCGAGTAAGAAAATTTGGGGAAAAATAGGGCAAAATAGGGAAGAATAGAGAAAATAAGAGGGAAATCAGGATAAAATATGGAAGAAGAAAAAAGAAATATTAAAAAAAAAAAAAAAAAAAATTATTTTTTTAATATAAATCGGGAAGAAAAAATAAATTTGGAAAAAATTGGGAAAAAAAATAAAAAAATCGGGAAACCGATTTAAATCGGGTTTTTATCAGGCCTGCATAACTTAAGAGCTTTCTGCATCATTTTATCCCTATGTGGAAGAATATATAAGCAAATATCTCATGAAAAAACATTGCTTAAGAAATCCTCTTGCATAAACTAGAAATACATTCGCAACATGTGATGAGAGCCTGATTTAAAGCTTTCCAGTGTTTGTGATTTTCATTACTGGTATTGAAATATTCATTAGTGAATTCATAATTTTGACGGTTCCAAAATCCAAATCCCCACAACACACAATTGTTCCTATTTATAAAACATAAATGCAACCTTTCAAAATAAACTTCCATGTTTATTTTCCTTGATGTAATTGCATGATAGGAAACCCCACACTAAACATCACAAAAATTGTTTGTGTGAACCTAGGAAGACTATCAAATTGAATATGCAAGATTGCAGGAATAACTGAATACTCAATTTATAAATATAAGGAAAGGTGATAAACACTAGTAGACACATCATAAAATATATTAGTTGTCATTCCAAAATTGATTACAAATCTCATGATTATTTCTCTCCCCCAAAAAGCAAGTCTTGCAATCTTTCTTCACGAAATTTAATTACCGGTATACATCATGATTGGACATTACTGGAGATCCATACCTACAATTAGGAAGAGGACTCCGCTCTGTAATTTTTTCATTCTTATTCTAACGAGCAATGCATAAGTAAGTATACTTTATCAAGTATGGACTCTGTACTGATTACATTGTTTTCAATGGCAGTCCTGTGTTGAGGCTACAGCCCATGGCATTGGAAGCCACTGGGCCAACAGCCCATGGTCTAGGGGTCCTTCATAATGAAGTTTGCCCATTCTCTGTTGAAGTGGCTCAAATTTATTTAGGAAAAACAAAATTGTATAATATTTCTTTAAAGAATCTAATCCCACAAAATATCACCCCCAAAAAATGAAGCACAGTTTTTCAGTTTGACGAGCCTCAGCCATATAATGGGTTCGTACTTTGTAGCAGTAATTAATTCAGAAAATATAATTACGGCACTATAATTGTGAATCGCAGCTCCATACCCCGCTGTCAAGTGTTGTTGATAATCCATGACTCTGGGTTACATAATACCAACACGTAGGAGTCATCTAGGGATTCGACTAGCGGAGTGCCTGCATGCACTAATACCATTCCTGCATGCTTCACTGCATGTTTAATTTTTGTCCAACCAAAATGGATAATGCACGTTTTATCAAAAGATGTTTCATGTTTATTGATCATATTTATTTCATTTATTTGTGTTGAAAATCATCTGCGAATATTTAATGTTAAAATCCAAAATAGATTTTTTTTTATTTTTTTACTGCATACAGGGAAACTGTATGCATTCAGCATTTCAGCCATCTACATGTACAGTACATATAATATATGTATATAATATAATCTTTGAGAGTATCAATTGATAAAATGTGAACTAGAGCATTAAAACCCCCAACATTTATTTCACCACAATTTGTATTAAGAGTCGTTTTCAAACATGATCGTGATATAATTTGTATAACACATATATGAAACAAATATTTAATATTTTTGTATTGATGAGATGATTCATTAAACTCGTGAAATAGTTTCACTATCTCACTCATACAATCTCCAAATACAATGGACAAACCTGATGCAACAGTCAGGCACTTCATAGAGTATCAAAACATGGGAGGTATTTTTTTTTTTTAATAATTTTTTTTAAAGAGTACTTTCCTTTCTTACATAGGTCCCCTCAATATTCCATCTCTGGGTTATGGTATTTTTCTATGATGAAGATGTTTTGTTTTGTATAAAAATGTATAATAGCACATGTAGTTATTGATGAAAGGATCATAACAAGATAAAAAAAACAAGCACCATTGCATACCGGTATGTTGATAATCTGAAAGATCGTAAAGTATTTGCAAGATGGAAATATGTATTTCTTCAAAGAGGAAAAAGGTAACTTTTGAAGTGATTTTCACTAAGAAAAACAAAAATTGTTGTTGACATGACCATGAAAATTACAGAAATAATATGAAGCACTTTTTTTTTAATAAACATGAAAAAAACACAGCAAAACCAAAACAAACAAACATGAATAATGAATAATGCACTACACAAATGCCAACACTTTCATATATTTGTATTTATAAAAAAAAGGAAAATATATATATTAAAGTCTCTAATGAAAAGAGACTCAGAGATGAAGAAAAAAATTGCAGTTATGCGTAGGTTAGATGATGTTGGAAGCTCTTGAAAAGAATAGAATCTACATCCATAAATTTCTCACACTAAAATGAAGTAAAAAATAAATATGAAATGGAAGCCATGTTGATGAAGGTGAAGTGAAGGGATGTTAGGAGTCCATGATGTCAACCTCTCGTTTAGAACTAGAGCTGCTTTTCTTGCCAAAGTCACTGATGATGAGCCTGTAGAATAAGACCAGGTTGATACAAAAGATGGATGCGAGGGTGTACGGTCCCGTCTTGCGACGGGACCGTACAGTGCAGGAAGATGGAGTTGAGCTCCAGGATTATGGCGATGTTGATGGTGGCGTACAGCTGACGGAGAGAAAGGATCGTGAAGCATAGAAAGAGCACCTGCAAAAGGCGAGAAGAAAAAGGAATACTCAAACATAAACAGAAAGTCGTTCAACATATCATTTCGACCTTTCCGGGACTCATCTGTACGAGCGTTTGGCCAATGGATTACGCTGATGGATTGGTCTACGCTTCGAGAATCTGATGCTAACGCCCTGGCTGCCGATTTCCACGAACTACTCAACATCAAGTACTACTGTGAAACGACGCCCTAACGACAAAGAATGGATTAATGATCGCATTCGCAAAGCCATCATTAAGCGTAATACTAGCTACAGAACCGGCTCAGCAACCTACAACGCGCAGAGAAACCTTGTCCAGAGAGAGATAAAAGATGCTAAGGACAATTTCTATGCTCGCAAGGTGCACCATCTGAAAAGAGCGGAGCCCGGTAAATGGCATCAACAAATCCGCAATCTAGCCGGCCTTCGCAAAAATCACTTTGCCTCTCATCCGTCGACAAATCTGATAACGAAATAGCTAATGATCTGAATACACATTTCGCTAACATCTGTTGTACATTGCCTCCACTCGACCCGTTTGCTATGCCGGCATACTTACCTGCAGCATCACCGCCTCCGACGATCCTGCGACATCAAGTATACCACAAGCTTAGCCGTATCAACACATCGAAGGCCTGTCATCCAGGCGAATGCCCTTCACGTCTTTTGAAGGAGTTTGCCTTTGAGCTGTCTGAGCCCTTAACCCACATTTTTAATTGCTGTCTAAGAGAGGGTTGTTTTCCTAATATTTGGAAAAATGCTTCTGTGTGTGCAGTACCGAAGGTTTCACCAGTGACTAGTTTTGACCAGCTACGTCCCATCTCGATTACCCCTATAATATCTCGCATCTTCGAAGGGTTCCTTTCCTTGCTGATTGGATATTGTACGACATCAAGGACAAAATCGACCCTAAGCAGTTTGGTAACAGACGCGGTACTTCGATTGTGCATTGCCTCGTCAGCCTGTTGGACACCATCCATACAGGTATCGACACCTCTGGAACCTTCGCTAATCTGTGCACAATAGACTTCAGTAAGGCGTTTGACCACGTTAATCACGCGATTGTGATCCAGAAGCTGATTGGGTTAGGAGTAGATCGCTCTATCATCCCTACTTTATGTAGCTTTTTGTCTCAGAGAACGCAAACTGTCCGCTACCATGGAACAACCTCCCAGGAGAGATCCATCACTTGTGGAGTGCCACAGGGAACACGTTTGGGCCTGTAGCGGCTTTTACATTCGCCCTACTTTCATCGTACATTCATGTCTCCAGTATTTTTCCATCTTTTTTCCATCACGCTACTTATTTATATGCATTATTCGGACCACGTGTGTTTTTCCTTCCAATCGAGCACCGTGGTTCCGCGCATTCCTTCACCCGCGTATTTTCAACTCCACGAGGTTTTTCTCCACTCCCGCTTTCACCTTGGTCGAGTCAAGACGTCTCCGCAATTTCCTCTCCAGGCTGTATTCTTCTGTGCCTTTCGTCTTTTCTACGGCACGTCAACTCTTTCTCTGCCGTGTTCATCGGGCTGCAGTCTCCCAGTGGAACGTTATAGTCAGGACCGACATGGCGCCTGACTCTCCGCTGGGAGCTGCCAGTTTCTTCGTTCCGGTAGCTCTTTCCACTCACGAGCTCATCATTTCACCGCAGCTCATCTAAACATTTCTTCATCAAAGTCCGGCGCATCAAACGAGCAACTATTACTACTCAGCACCAGTGCCGGCTTTGCATGTCTACGTTTCTACTCTTCGCCTCCGACATCGAACGACCCACTGTTCCGTCGTCGAGCGCCACATCTCGTCTCTTCTCTTCTCGCCTGAGAGCTTCTTCACTATCTTCATCACGGACGTCAGCGTCGAGATTCTTCACGGCTCTTCAGCCACGACAACGAAGGTGCATCTCCGCCTTCAAGCCTCCGCACATCATCGCGTGAGCCCCTTCCTTCGTTCTCAACTCTCTTCTTGATCATTGGACTTTCGACGACATTTCTATTCTGTCGTAAGCTTTCATTCATTATGTACATCGCATTTATTCATGTTCATTCTTATCTTTGATCATTATAATGTAACTACGTGCAATATCTTCAATTCTCATTTATGCATTTTCATTCTGATTCTTCGGCTTGTGCTTGGCTACACTTTGCAAGTGTACGGCCAGCCTCATCAGTACCCAATAAACATAACGAAAAGGGAATACTTTCTTTCATGTATTTTATTGTCAGTGCAACCTTGCTTCCTCGTAGCTAAAATAAAAATAAGAGTTATGTTGTGTGACGAGTGAACACGCTTTCAAATATCCATTCACAATACCTCACACTCATATCTCTAAAGGCCCGATACTTTTTTTGGTATTGGCCAACGATGCTGCACAGATGACTGAGAACCGCTGGAAGTACGTAGATGACCTAACTTTGTTGGAGGTCATTAACAAATTTCAACCGTCCCAATTACAGTCTCATGTCGATTACCTTACTACTTGGTGTCAGGAAAATGATGTTATCCCGAATGCCGCTAAGTGCAAGGCTATGCAAGTCTCCTTTCTCCGAACTCCACAGCATCCTCCTGATCTGCTCATCGACTCAGCTAGCCTGGAGATTGTTTCCGCGATTAAGTTGCTCGGGGTCATCATCAAATATGACCTCAAGTTGGATCAACAAGTCGATCGCATCATATCAAACGCGTCGAGGAGATTGTTCATCATCAATAAGTTAAAAAGGAATGGGGTCAACACTCAAGATTTGGTGACAATCTATCAGCTCTACATTCGACCGGTACTGGAGTTTGCGCCCCCCGTTTGGACTTCTGGTATAACGAAGACTCAGGCTGAAACCATCGAACGTATTCAGAAGCGAGCCTTGAGGATAATCGTTTACCCAAATTTACTGCCATATAGTGAACTCCTCAAAACTTTAAAACTAAAATCCCTTAGTAATAGGCGTCTCGAACTAGCAACTAAATTTGCCAAATCAGTTTTAACCTCTCTTGACCATCGCCATCTCTTGCCACAAAGTAGAGAATCAATCACAGGTCGCAATCTTCGGAACTCTACACACAAGACATTACCTCGTATACGAACTCAAAGACGCGTGCTTTCTCCCATTCCTTACTTTATACAACTTCTGAATTCAACTTCTTAGTTATGCCCTCATATGCTCGCCATTGTGAATTTTTAAATGTTAATTAATTATTGCATAATGATTATCTCAAGTATTAGTATTAATGTCATCTCCCAAAGCTGTTTTAATTTGTTTTTAATTTGAATTCCAAGTCCTTTCACTATAGGAATGATCATATTATATATAATTATTCATGGTAATTGTATGATCTCCCAAAGCTGTTTTAATTTGTTTTTAATTTGAATTCCAAGTCCTTTCACTTTAGCAATGATCGTATTATATATAATTATTTATGGTAATTGTATGATCTCCCAAAGCTGTTTTAATTTGTTTCTAATTTGAATTTCAAGTCCTTTCACTGTAGCAATGATCGTATTATATATAATTATTTATGGTAATTGTATATACTTATTTATTTACTTATTATTATATACTTATATACTTATTATATTTTTGTTTACTTATTAATGATTTAATTCATCCATGTGTTTTTTTACCTTGTTATATTTTTTGTTAAGCATTTTATATTGTAAACTGACTTGTTTAGTCTTCGGACTTTTTAATCAGTACTTGAATAAAACCAAATATCTAAACATTGTAAAATGGGAATTATATCTGAACAGACAATCCCATTAGCCCTATGCTAACATCCTACTCCTGTCGTATTATGCACATTGAGAACAAGAGAGAGAAAATGCTGGTTTACGTTGACGTTGACGATAAATCTTTATGTTTGTAGTCGCATCATGTTGAGGTATACCAAGGTTATTGGGGAAGTCTGTCGATTGTGCTAAGCTGAAAGGCCTGTGAAAATGTTCCTTGAGGGATGTTTTAATGAAAGAAAGTAGACTTTGTGTTAATAAATTGGTCTCATAATGAAACCATAAAGAACAAAAAACAATTTTGTTCCTACAAATCAAAGTCATTTTTATCGAAGGTGCATATTTATCCTCAGGGAACACCTTTGGGAAATTCTTAGGGTGTAAATGAATTGCCTTGATAAAATTGTAGGTGCAAATTTCAGGAACGACGGAATGCATTTGAATGCTTTCGTGTTAATAGAGTTGCATAACACGGCATGGTTTTGGCCAAAAGATGGTTTGATAATCTTGGAATGCCTCTCGATCAGTCAGATCCCATTTCTTGTATTATTTTAATACAAATCAACATTTCGAAGGCACAGAAGGCTTGTTCTGATGGAAAGCTTTATTCATCATTTTCTTCTTGTGGACTAAATTTTTTCTTTCAGCCATGTATGAATTAGCATCCCTTATATTCAAACCTCCGGAATGCCCCCCCCCCTCTCCTGTTCTTTTCTCATTTTCATGTCATGCCCCTATTCCTGTTTCTCATTTGTTCATTATGTGACAGACTGTCATGCATGCCATATGATTTGTGACTTCAACCCTTTCCTTATTCCTTAACAAAATTGAGGAGAAATACTTTACAGACTCTGCCTTTCTTTCCTTTTACAACAATATTTTGAATAAATGGTATTGTATTAGCAGTGAGATCTGCAGTGAAATGAAAGCTGTTATCTTTAAAGAATAGTCAAATTGTGAAAAAATCTGCTTGAGTTTTCTTGTATTTATGCCACCAACTTCGTCTATCATGTAGAAAAGGATGTTGTTACAGAGAAAACAGACAAAGCTCGCTTTACCTCGTGTGTCACTTTGCAAAACAATCTGGAATATTATGTTTTTGTGGTGTGCAACGCATGTTGGCTAGGATTGCAGTGGCTCCCTCTCTGTTGATTGATTGAAAGTTTTTGATTTTAGCATTGAACAAATTTTTAGAGCATGTCAGAACGTGGCTAATTTTTGATGTCAGCTTGCCTGAAACTTTACCATTCGTGTTTTCTAAGCAGATTTAAACGTATGCTTAACAGTCTTGTTTAAGGGTCCCTCCACACATGGCTACATGCAATACTGTTTAATACTTACCATTCATTCCACATTTGTTTTAAAACTTAACTCTTCATTGTCATTCCTATTATTATTTACAACATGCTCCTTTCAGCAAGTCTTCATTTTATCCTTCATACCCAGTCTGATTTGGTCATCAAAATAAGTTAATGTGATTTTTTTTCCTCCAATCTGTTCATGACATAAAATTCAAATATATACTTAATCATTCATGTCTTTTTTTTTTTGCTCTCAGATATTGAATTTCAGGAGCGTTAATGTTTCAAGCGAATCTGTTGCAAATTATTTTGTTATCAAAATGTAATACTTTAATGGAACAAAATCAATTTTAATTACACAGTACTCCTTTATCAAACAGTTATAGAAGGAATTTATTGGACACACGTACAAAGTATATAAAAGTAAAGTAACTGTTTAGAATATCTTTTAAAATTTAAAGTTATATAGAGTATTATTACCCGTATCAGACATCTGAGCTGGTCATTTACAAAACCGTATTGCCCTAGTTTTCACTAGCAGGGGGACCGGAGGGGTATAATCTTTGTATTTTCCTTGGTCTCCCTGCTCGTATAGACTTTGCGTGTAGAGACGAGTGAAAATATACCTTGGTATTTTCCACGGTCTCGCGTCCGGGCATCTTGTATTGACCGCGTCGCATTTTCATTGCGCATCTAATGCGTACGAGAACCTGTGTACTTTGCGCGCACTCTATTGTGACGTAATAATCACACCAAATACACACTGTTTGCAGTGTATCGAAAATTTTGTCAAGCACTGGATGCACAGTGTTGGTTTGACAAAGTTTGTTCAGTTCTTGAGATTGTCATGGTGGATTTCCGTATTTGCTCTAGATGTCTGATTTGGATAACAATAAAAATATTGACTGGCTTTACTTTCAGGGGATATCAGAAATATTGACCGCGCTAAGACCTTATTGCCCTCGTCTTTCGGTTTTTGAGCTTGGTCAATATTTCTGATATACCCCTCAAGGCCAGTCAATATTATATAATTATGATAGTTGTTTATAAGCCGCAACAATGTGCTAGCGTCATGCCTCAGTCACACCTTTGCGTATTGGGCTTGCGTATTGCTGCGTATTGCCCGAACGCAGACATAGGCAGTCATACCCAATACAGCGCAATGAAACGTGCTCACTGCGTACTCAATACGCAGACTAGCGCAAAGACCTGCGTTTGCCGCTCGCTAGTTTTAAAATTTTCTAAACTATCGCAAGCAAACGCAAGGTCAAATCACCTACGAGCGGACACGAGGGGCAACCAGTGAATGCGAGCAACAGCGAGAGGCTTAGCGCAAGTATACGCAACCATACGCACCTCTTTTTTTTTGGAGCGCGTGTCACTGCCTATAGCTGCGTTCCCTGCACGATTTACCTCGCCAGAGCTCGTTGTCGTTCGCATGATTGCGCGTTTTGTTGCGCTATTGCTCGCCTACCACTCGCAGCAGCAAGAACCGTTGCACTTGCCGCTCGCTACGCTGCGAGTCTAGCTCGTACGCCGTTCGATTTAGCTCGCTATCACTGCGATTAGTTGCCTAGCACCGACCACCGTCGGTGCGCTGCATAACGTTAATAAATAAACATCATTCGCCTCTGCTTCTTCCAGCTGAAGCCGCTTTTGCAAGGCAGAGCTCTGCTGCAGGGCCATTTTTTCATTAGATTGATTTGGACTCGTCAGAAGCCCGCAAAATGACTTTTATTTATACGCCGTCGCAGCCCAAGCGAGCTGGTACGCTGTAGAGCGAGCTGGCACGCATCAGTACGAACAACAGACGAGCTAAAGCGAGCGAACACGCAGTGAGACGCAACGAGACCAACTAGTACGAGCGGCTAGCGAGAAGCAAACGAGCAAAGAACCAGTTACATACGCAACGTGGCGAGCAAACTGCGTATTGAATCGTACTGCTATGAGCAACAGCGAGCTATAGCGTGGTCATAGGCAACTGTAGGCAGTCTTTGTACGAGCGGCATACGAGCTACCTACGAGCTAGATACGCAATAGTGTGACTGCTACCTTCAAATTTTCCGCGTATTGCTGGGAACGGCTGCGTATTGATATACCCCGTACAGCGCAGCAATACGCAGCAACATACGCAAAGGTGTGACTGAGGCATAAGAAAGGCTATTTTCTCAACTCTAATTGCCTTTTAATGTATTAGATTACTTGATATTTGTAATTACAGATCTTTTGTTGCATACTAACCAAACTCCTCTTTTAGAAGCTCTGTGAAGTAACATCTCTTCTTGCTTGTCACCATTTGCTCTCTTCCTCCTCTTCCTCCTCCTTTGTCCTTGTCTCTTTGTGTCATTGCCACACGATACCATCAAACTTGCCCATACCACCGACCTTCAAAAACCACACCTTCAATATTGCAATGCCCCACCCCCCACTCTTGACATCTTTGTGTGGCACATTGAACCCGACCACCCAGAGGGTAAGGCATCCCTCGGTACCGGAGGGCAGGGAGGCGCTGGCCACGGGCGTGTCCCCGTGCCCCTCCCTGGACAGCATGGTATCCATCTCATCCTTCTGCTCGTCTCTTGGTTCCATCTCCTACGCCGAACGCGAGGCCTTTCTCGCCGCTTCGGGTTCGGTCCGGCTACGGGTGCGGGAGAAGCGTAAGGTACAGACCTTGTCCATCTTGGATCCTTTGTCTTGGTGTTCGGTATGTTGGCTATCCTCCCCTCCTAAAAAAAGAACAACCAAAGGAAAACAAAATGAATGAAAAATGCTCTCACACACCGATATATTTTGAAATGGAAAAAAGAAAGATATCTTAGCTGCATCACTGGCAATTTGGATGGCCCCTTGGTGGTTCCATGGCAATTGTGATTTTGTTGATTAGTTCTCAAGTTTGATATGCGTTTCTCAATGCTGCATGAAGTCTTTTGCATGAGCAGTACTTATGATCGTGCTAGTTAGTGTCTTAGCAGAGAAGCAACAAACCAAATAAAATGCACAGCACGTAATGTTTTTAGAAATTGATATCTCCCACAATAAGAACAGATCTACAGAAATAGAATCTGGTTGAACAACACACATGTGGGAACATGAATTTCTTTTGAAACTGTGTTAAACTTGGTGTCAACTAGTGATGTAGAATTGGTTAGGTATCACAGTTACTGTAAGTTTGATTTTAAAAAACTCTTAATGCACAATCTATTATTTTGTTGTAGTTGAAGTTTGTTTTATTCAAATCAAGCTTAAAGGAACATAATCCTTACGAATGAGAAAACAATGCTAGTTTGTAGGCTTAAAGAAAATGTTAAATCATTAATATATATTTGTAAGCTTATTTATTTGAATTGGGCTATAATAGATCAACAGGTATTCAGACATGGTAGAAAAATACAGTCTTATTTTTTAGGATTACTTTGAAGTTAACGCATTGCTAACAGGAACTAGGTGGCTCTGGTATTAAGTTTAAGGGAATGAGAGAATTCAGTATTCAATCAATTGGCAGAATTTTCCTTGAGTAGCACTGTACTCTTTCCAGAGTTAATAAGGGTTAAAGTATCGTCGGACCATGTCTACTTTGTTTACTTCAGTCATTTTGAAAGAAATTTGTTTAGTTGATATTTTATTTGCTGTGAACCTTCTCGGATTCAGATACTTAAAAGTGGGCACAAGAGAAATAGGAAATGGCGCTTATTGTTTTTGGTTTCTCTAAGTAACATTGACTATAGCTTGGCATGCTGCATTTGTATGCTGAGCCGATTGAATGAGAAAAAAATCCCAAAGAATTATCAAATAATTTTTGTTAAATAGCATTTTATTTTGCATTGCACCCAGTTTGATTTGTGAGACAACCAGAAGAGAATGCAATGCATGACGTAGATTTGTTTGTCAAGGTTAGAAAGTCAGAACGCCTCGTGATTGTTGTCTTACGTTTGGAAGATCATCGTCTTTGCTGCATAAAGAGCCTTAATGTTTCCGGCCGTAGATATATGAGTGTTATTGTTATTATAGATGTGTAAAAGGGAGGCGTTTATGGCTTTGTCGTTTTTATTGCAAGAATATTTAGAACATAACACCTATATTGAAACATTTGTGTGTACTTATACAAGCCACTGCTCATTCTGTTATGTCGCTGCAGTGCTTCAAAGCTGTTGTTGTATTATTTGAACCTATTGCCAGACTTGATGTTTTTGTCTGGAACCTTCATTCCAATGTCTATTTAGATGTCTTGAAAGCCATTGCAATGCTGCAAGGCTTTGATTTCATACTTGGAACTTCTCACCAGCTCCCAGATAAAAATCTTTTGGAAACCTGTGGCATTAATGTGATCACTCTGACATTTCATTTTTTCTATTTTTTAAACTATCATTATTTCATGCTTTAAAAATTCCTGTCTTCTAATTTAGATATTATCACTGCATTGTTCCAATGCTTCTGATTTTGTTATTGGGTACTATCTACATCTACATGTACTTAATTGTTCTTTCATGATCACTACATTAGTTCACTGCTTTGCATTTTATTTCATGAATATGACCAGCTTGTGGTTAAATTGTTCTCATTCTGTTCCTTATCTTTGCATTGGTTTCATTTATAACCTCATTTTTCTGGAACCTTTGGTTTCAACATCTTAATTTTGAGATATTTTTTGTATTATTTCCTATCTTCAATTCTTCATTTTTGATGTTTTAAAGAAGATCCGCTGGCTTTCTTTTATTTGTCAAACTCCCTCTTGATATTATGATATTGATGTTGCACTATTACAATGCAGCATAGCAAAATCATGGTATATCATGTCATTATGCTTTATTTTACCTACTAATCAAGCTTTTTCCTTCTTTCAAGCACCATGTTCGCTACAATATATTATTTTCTCTTCTGTTAACATATCTTTATTTTATCTCATAGTACTAAACCAAGTAAAAGTACATGCACATTTTTGCCATCTATAGTGACATATATATACCTGCTTCAATGCTCGAAGTATTTACGTTTCACACACCATGTAATTTTAACGCTAACACATAACCCTCTGCCTTTATTCTTCCCCCCTCACAGCTAGCCATCGTTGTCAGAGCAATTTTCACCAATGCATTCTGCTGTATTTGTATTGTTTTATATTCTTTACATATCCTGCCTGCTACACATGTATCAGGCTGTATTATGTCCAACGCATTGTAATTGTTTATGTCATTATGCACCTGTAAATCTTCAATGTATGAAACTATCTACAGTAAGGAAGGTTGTACATGTACGTACAGCACTTGTTTCTGCGACTATCGCTCTGTGTCAATTTCCCACACCAACCAAATTCTTAACTTCAACCCTGGACACAGCACAATGTCTGATCTTAACCCCCTACCTTAACCTAATGTAAAACCCAATTTCAACCCTAAACCCTATATTTTTTATGAAATAAAGCCTGGAGTAATTGTCAAAGGAGCAAATTTCAGGACACTAGTTGGAATGCAACATGTAGCACATATCTACATTGTAGAAATACACTGAATGGATCCTTTTCTAGTGATAATACCCCCCTCTCTCTTTCTATAAATGCTTCCTCCATCAGGTCCAGTTGATAAAGTAAACTCAGGGTACCTAACCAGTTGAGACCTGTAAAACTATCTTCTCTTATTTTCCCTTGCCTTGAAGCTATTAAAACTTGGAAGAAATTACAATGCAAGGGAATGATCTGTGCATAAGTAGATTAGAAAACCTCCTAGCATCATGCTTTTTATCTGTGCTGTTAAAGCAGTGTTGGTCATGGTTTTAAATTTGGTGAGAAGAACTTCCCCAGTGCCTCTAGGTACAGTCTAATGCCATATGACTTAAAAAAGGCATTATGCATGTGTTGAGATCCTCTTCAAGCCCTTTACACCACGATATGGTTCCAACGGTGATGCATGAGTTGGCTTCAAGTTCAAGCGTATCTTTCTTGGTGTTACTTGCAGTTGCCGAGTGACAGCTTTAACTTCAGTGCGAGCTTGACGTCTTAGACGACACCGGAGAACCCGTTCACGAGGGACGACAGCTATCGTGAGAACTTCAAGACCATCAGGCCCACATCGGTCGTCACCAGACAGATGAAGGAACATGAGAACGAACAGAGGCAACAATTTTCAGGTATGAAATCTTGTATTCTTGGTGTAACAATCATAGTGTATTATTCATACAGATGAGTGTTTTATATGTGAATCAGATAATGCCTGGTGATTGTATTTATGTAACAGTAATATCAGTCACTAAGAGAGTTTACTCTTTTGTTCTTGAAAAAAGTTAGAAATATAATTACTGAATGCAATGATAATGACAATTGTGAAGAGCTAGGAAATTGCAACTACTTTGGAGGCTGAAAACATTCCTGTAATCCTGATCTAAATGTAGTATGGTTACATTTCTGAATTTATATTTTATTCCTGATCTTGATGCAATTCAAAAAGGAAAATTGAAGTGGAAAGGTGATATACAATGTGGGATCAAGATTTAGAATTACATAGGTATCCTTTGGATTTAAAGTCACAGTACAACATGTATAATATTTTATGGCAAGCACAATTTATTATCTTAGCATTATGTGAAAACAGTTTGTCCCTATTAGATGATAATCCCTCTATCCTTGCTCAAATCTTTTGAGCCTGACTGTAAGTACAGGAGATAATGATGATAATGATTCCATTGCCCATCTCGTTGCCTAGGTTACAAGAGGATGAGGAGGCAGCATCAGAAACAGATCCAGCAGCTGGAGACGAAGCTCAAGCAAGAGATGGATGAACTGAGAGATAAACTAGATAAAGAATTCAACCAGTGTGTGCAAGCTAATGTCAAAGAACTTGATAAGCTCTTAGGAAGGCATACAACAGATCTGGAGAAAAAGGTATGGAATTAGCTTTCTCTCGTTTATAAGATCTTGCGCTGTGCATGGTTACTGGTTGATTGAGGGTGATGAATTGAGGAATCAACTTGATAAAGAAATCAACTGGGGCCCGTTCCACAAAACTCGTCGTCAGTGACAAATAACAGTCTCTGTTATAAGCTACTGAAATCTTTGCTTCTGATTGGTTATCAGCAGATTTGTCACTGATTTTTGTCATTTGTCGTTGAAAAAAGGCTTTGTGAAATGGGTCCCTGGTGTTGTCATGCTAACATCTAAGAACTAAACAAGCTCTTAGTAAATCGTGCTACAGATCTCGAGAAAAAAAGGTTTTAAAAATTCGTTTTTATTGGTTACTAGTAATTGAGATAGATGAGCAGAGAAGTAAAATGGATAGAGAATTAGACCATTGAGATTTTTTGTGCTAAGCTGTGCGCTATATAAGGCATTCATCAAGTTCCTGGAATGTTTTGGATTCTTCTGTCTGCAGTATAGTCATACTCTGTGTGATTCATGTTTAACTCACTATGCTGGAATCCCAACATTTTGTTGAGGATCTACTCCATATTATTTATCGAGGATATAATTCAGAAGAATAAAGAAGAACGAGTTGTTTAGGTTCAAAATCCATTGATGGAAAATATCGTTGACGAAGCTGTTCATGATGATATGCTACATAGAATACTGTACATGTGAAATGGTAAAGCATGTATTCATAGAAATACAAGTGTTCATGTTGATATTTTTAAATGCAATCATGAAGTAATCTGTCTTCTCAATATTACATCAGGAGAAACTTCATAATCTCATTTATAAAAAAAAGAAGATGACTTGCATACTTAACTCTTGTATGAACATTCTGATTTAGATGTGATGGTGAACTTATATCGTAGTTTCATAAAAAGCAGTAGAAGCTGGGTCAGTTTTTCTCTGTTGGGAACTCAATATTTTTTCAACTTGTATTTGGTTGTTGTCTTGCAGGAGAAAGCAGCTGCCACTGAGGAGAAGAAACTCCTGAAGACAATCACATTCCAGAAGGAATCTGAATTGAAAGCCTTCCAGCTCAAACAGAAGAAAGACTACAAACATAACAAGGAACAAATGAGAAAAGTAAGATCTTTCAAATCATTTGAAGTAATTGTGAATTCTGTAAAACTGCGCATTCGAGAAGCATACTCGCTAGAGTTCCCAATGTGCATTGCGTTACAATTCGCCTATGAGACTTGAAAGGTTACCAATTAAAGGCATTGTTTAACAATGTTTCCAGTTGTACAAATCTGAGATGCATGTCCCTACGTGTTATCAGTGTGTGTGATATGGTGTAATATTGAAGCCCTAAAAAAAATTGCACTTCAAAATGATCATGAAGTGCCTCAAAAAAGTAAAAATCTTTTGAGTACCCAGTTTTACCATACTCATTTTCCCCAATAGACATGCTGTTTGTTCAACTCTCTGTTACCTTCCAGGAATTGGATAGTACTCCAAAGAAGGGGGCACGCATGGGACTCCATAAGGAATCTCTGCTTTTCTTTTGCTCCATAGAAATTTGAAATACTCCCAATCATCAATCATTTAATCACCTCTCTTCTTAACTTGCAGGAATTGGACAGTACTCCGAAGAAGGAGCACGAGGCCCGCATGCGGCTCCACAAGGAATCGCTCCACCAGGAGCAGCAGAGGGCAGAGAATGACCTGCAGGAAAGGCAGAACCAGAAGCTGGACAAGGAGATGAGGAAACTCAAGGGCAAACTCCTGCTCAGCAAGCAGACAATCGAACAAGACCAGCTCTTAGAAATACATTGTGTAATTGCATATTGAGACAGACTTGGATTTTTTGTGTCTTTTTAACTTTTGTCTAGTGACTGCCCTTTACACGTCACTAGGGCGTTTTCACGAACAAGTTGGAAGGCAAAGACGACGGTAACGCGAGCAAAAAAACAATCTCTGTTGATTTTCACGACCGTACGCGGCCATGATAGCGTTCGTTCCCTAAACACGACGGAAAAGCTGCATTGCCGTAATTCTCCCTTTGTCTTTGCATCTGTCGTCTTTGCGAAAGTGCTCTATTATCCAAGAGACACAACCTGGTTTATTGTTGAAAACATAGAGCTGACTACTAGACCAACTGAACTCTTTCTGTGCTGTGTAACAGAAAGTTCTAGAAGGAATGCCTTCTTACAAGGTCCATGGCCGTAGTTCTCGGTGTTTGTCCACACTCCAGTGAAATAACTTGTGTTCTCACCAGGTTAACTCAAAGCTCTGTAAAAAAAAACATGTCTAGGTTTACGGAGCTGTCCATGAATCTGCTTACTTAGAAGCAAGATTTCATTGTAGTGATTAATGTGTTATATGGTCTTTTACCAGAGCTTTGCAATGCTAAATTAAAGTGCAGTATTACTCATTGCTCTTGTGTACTATAACAAAAAACGAACTCAAGTTGCTTTTGGAAGTGTGGCTAGATTAAGGAGCATTAACTTAGCAATTGTCCAGGAAGCAAATTCCAGAATCACGACTGACTGGTTATTTTTTTATTTTGTGTGCGTACTTGCAGGAGCTTCACAGGCGGCAGGTTATGAAGGAGATGGAGCACGTGATGGCGCTGCGACACCACGAACAGATGCAGTCCATCGAGTACCATCACACCAAGCAGATCCAGTCGCTACGCTCGGCGCAAATGGAGAGGCAGTTCAGCACAGAGCTGACCAACCAGGCTGAGTATAATAAGACGGCTCAGCAGGACCTACGCAAGAAACATTCGCTGGAAGCAAAACAACAACCCAAGGAACTCAAGGTCAGTAGTAACTCAACTCTGTGAAACAAATTTCCAAAAGTTTGTGGATTACAATATTTTGTAGTCCTTTTCTAGTGCCTAACCCAACACAACCTCAATGGCTTTTGTTACTTTTTGTCTTATAACAATAACATCACACTTTTTGTCTTGAATGTCGACAGAAACATTGCTTCTCTCAATACCTGGGACTGGTATGAATGGTCAGAATTTGCACAAATATTATTTTAATACCTCAATTTTTGTTCATTATCTCCAAATTGGCGACGTATCTGAGCAAGGGCTGACGGGATTACCTGATCTTCCTGGATCATAATATATTCAGTTGAGATCTCTGTGTGTGTATTGGGTTTTTACAGAAGTGTATCAATTAGATATGATTATTTACATCTGGGGACCGACCTTTAATGCTACTGTCACAAAGGTTCGTACGAACGATCATTTCGTACGAATATCCCTGTTTTTCCATTGTCTTCTTGAATTTCCATTGTCTGAAAATCGTTCGTACGGCCTTCGTAGCAGTTTGAAATGGCATTTGTGACCGAGGCTTAAACGTCACCATCCGAAAGACTTGACTCAGTTTCGAACCTGCGTCCTTGGCTGAATCAGTTTGTAACTTCCACTTTTAGCTGGATCACAGATGCATGCCACAACGCCTAGTTTGAGATCTCTGTGAACTCAGTGCTAACTTTAAAGCCATTGCCAACCATACTCTGAATGTAGATGACTAGTGAGGTGTTCAATCAATACTAGGGAGAAACAGACCAACCCAAAATCTGATAGCTGTGAAATTAATGCCACAGGTACATCGATGAAAGAAAATAAGACAATGTCTGTGCTTCAGATACGCTTAAAGTCATTTCTCATCAAACTTAATTTTTTTGTTCTACTCCAACAGGCCAAAGAGAAGAAGATCGAACGTCAGTACCGCGCAGTATGCAAGACCCAGATGCTTCAGTTCAAGGCCCTACAGCAGCAGGTCTTACAGACGATGCCTCGGGAGAAACATAAGCAGTTCATCAAGAAGATGAAAGAGGAACAGACAAGAGAGATGGCTATCCTTGTGGAGCAGTACCGACTGAGCATACAGGAAATTAATATATCCGTATCTGTGAGTCCATCTCTTGTTCAGAGTAGTCTAAATGCTTGTTCACATATCATATGCCATGGTAAACCGCCCCAATGACATAAAACCTCCATGTTTTGTTTTGTTTCACACATAAATGAATGGCAACTGCGTGAACAAAAGTGATATGTGTATTCACTGAGCTCTGTGTTATAGGATACAGAAATGTGAAGCGTATTACACTTTACGTCATTAAAGGTAAAGACCAGTATTGGAAACGCCCCAATTTCAAAAATGAAATGGAAGCTCTCATTACCAATCATGTGAAAGAATATGTTTTGACTAATACATGATGATAAAAAATTTGCCGGGAAACCGCCTACTAATTCATATATTTGGTAAATTTGTTTCTCTCATGGTCTGTGAGAGATATAGGGTAGTCCCATATACATCTTTCTGTGTATAGTGCTTGTAACTTTACGAAGAATGGGCCAAATTTCTTATCATTTTGATGATTCCAGAACCTTGCAGATGCTAGATGCTAGATGATCAACCTTTTCTGATCGATTCCACAACGTTTCTTTCACAATGCAATCGCATGACCATAACTGGTCTTTACCTTTAAAACAAATCGCCACGGTTTATGACCAAACAATCCGATAGGTTTAGTGAAGGGCTTTGGATTATCAGAAGGCATATTCTGTCTGTTGAAAATTTGACTCTTTAGAATAGAGCAATCACACTAATTCGAGTCAATACGCAATTGTTGTCCATTCAACAATTTCATCGCACCCTGCAAAATTTCCTTTTTTTATATAAGAATCACTTGTGATGATAATTCAATATTACCAAGGGGTTTTATGTCAGGGCTTAGTGCCTTCAATGAAAGGAATGGTTTTAATGATACACCTAAAAGTTTCATAAATTTTATTCACTTTCTACGTAGTTTCCTATAAGTGGTTGTTTCAGGGTTTAATCTAGGTCAATGTCTGCCCTATGGAGGAAATATGCAATGATGTAGTTATGTTTTTGACCTTTCATTTTGATGAAAAGCCCCTTTAAACCGATTCTGAAATTATTTTTGTTTATTTTTTTTCAGGTGAAGCTGGATAAGTCCCAGGAGCAAGAGTGCAATGTGCTACAGGACCGTCTCCGCCAGGAGATGGACCTGCTCCATGCCTACCAGAGCAAGACTCGGCTCCAGCAGGAGGCCCAGCATCATAAGGAGATCAAGGAGTTGGAGGAGCGCGTCTCCATCAGAAGGGCACGACTAGAGCTCAAGGTGAGCCAGCAGTAATTTCAATCCCTTCCTGAAATCGTGCATGGGTGTAATAATCTTTATACAAATCTGTCTGTATTAAAGTGAAAACATTGCAATTTATAAAACTTTCTGGGCAAAAAGTTCTAATATGGTATGTAATCCAGGTATGATAGGTATCTTGAAGCCTCTTTCTCAAATGGCTTCGTAAACAGCCTCATTAAACTGTTGTGACGACCTTGAAGGATTAAAGCCTAGATGTGTGCTATATGTTTCTGTATTTTGTAACACACAGATTCACTTTAGTACATTTAGGAGCCTTCGTTGCGCAGCTCCTTTTTATCACCCCACTTGCCATTTGTTTAAATGTCAAGAAGTGTGGGGTTTTTTGAGGCAGTTGACTGTACCATGTGAGAAAGACCCTTTATTCCATGTGCCCTGACCAGCACCACCATACACATTTTATTGTCATTTTCTCCCTCTAATCTCTCACCACCAGATTGAAGAAGACTCGGCCAAACTAGAGGGTGAGAAGACGGATCGGAAACGGAAGCTGTTTGACAGACACAAGAGAGAAACGGCCGAGTTCAACCGCGAGATGAGCAGCCATGGTCTAGAGCAGCTCTCTATCAATGACATCAAGCAACAGGTCTTTGGAGGGTCACGACCTCTATCCATGATCGAGACCAGCAACAACTCGTCACCGCGCAACGTCCGACGTGAGAACTCCTTCTCCTCTAGCTTCACATGATGAGGAGGGATGCCCCTCTTTTTTTATTTCTTATCCATTATTATTTTTGCCAATTTTTTTGTTGAGTTTGACTTCATATTTTTATTACTCTTGCATCGCTTCATCGAATAGTCACCTCCCCCGCCCCATGCTCGTATCGAGGTGACTCGTTCGGCTGGCTCTGTACAGACATAGAACCCTTGTAGCTTGGGAAGAATGTGTGTGGTCCTTGGTGCCCTGTTCTCTCCTTTCCTTATGTACTAAATTTAATATTCATTCAGTGAATGGTTTGAAAAGGACTTGAAATAGCGCATACTTAACAAGGTATTGGTGAGTGGAATAGCTGCATGTTTTTGATAAGCAGTAATTGTAACTAGTTAATAGTCTCATTAGTAATACCGTCATCATCAGTGTACCCCAGTTAGAAATAATCAAGTGAGAATCCAGTATAGCTGCATGGTGTGATTTAGATCAAATAAAGTCTGTTTGGATCAAGTTAACAAACTATGAAGTATCCACTCGTTTACTCTACTTTGTTCCTGGATTTCCTTCATCATTGACCTGAAAAGCACTGCAATTTAACCCTTCAGGTAGCAATAGATATCAAGGGGACTCAATCAAAATGGTTGAAAATACAGTTTCGTTTTCAGGGGTTTACAAGACACAGATGTAAAAAGAAATGACTGCATTTACAATGAAATTTTAAAGGTGTAATTTTTAAAAACAAAAACGCATCAATAATCCTGAATAGTTGATGCACATTTTATTGGAATCTTGAATGGTTTATGTAGCCGTAGAGGACATTTGGAAAGATATGGCAGATATCACTAACATGTTTTCAAATTTTGGACTGCTATCCATATATTGGATAACTTCTCAGGCCTACTGAATACTAGATGACTGAATGGTGTTTTGTGCATGCAGGTATGTAGTCCTATGGCAGAAGATATCATGTTAAACATGACGGATCAAATTAAATACCAGATGCTAGGGGGTCCAAGGTTTATATGGCACCAAGTTTTTTGCAAATCCTGTGTTCAATCTTAACCCAAATAAATAAAGCTCTTTTGTAATTGTAAAAGAGTGTTTCCATTTGTGTTGAGAATGGTAGAATGCTAGTACAGTCAAACCTGTCTATAGTGACCGCCAAAGGGAAACACAGAAAGTGGTCCTTGTATACAGGAGGTCTTTGTAGACAGGTTCCTTAGTACATGGTTCAATGAGAAACTATTATCAAGGGAAACAAAAAAATTTGGTCTTGGTACACAGGTGGTCACCATATCAGGTTTGACTGTATATGTATTACACTCCTGGAAGCTATTGCAAGAAACGTCTTGATATGTGTAAGCATGGACCTTCTACTTGGTCTAGGTTCATGAGCATCTCTCTTTCAAAACCTGTGAGGAAGGGAACAAGCTTTCCAATGGGATGCCAGTGAATGTAGAATTCTGGTGGTGTTTTTTTTTTATAACAGCCCAGAGAAAAAAAAATGTTGAGTAGAAGTTAACATAACACATACCACATTATGTGATGCAGATGATATTTGCGCCCTTTCTGCTTGTTAAATGTTAGGTACCCAAGAGTCTTTATTTTGAGCTACCACTTAAACTTGAATCATGTGAGCAAATTTGATGGTTTAAACTAAAAAACATTCATGTGCAAAAAGTTAACATTTTACAAATGTGGATTATTTCTCTGTAGGATGCAGAATAACGGTGGTAGCAGGTAGCAGTAGTTTCGTCTTGTGAGATCCCCATGCCTGAAGCATTGCAAATTAACCCATATAGAACATTATAGAAATATTCTGTAACCGTAGCTCCTGAAAATGGTTTTATGAGGTTGTATTACCCTCTAAAGTAGATCCAAAAATTGCTACCATTTCAATAATAGTATTAGCTATTGATAATTCATGTTCTAATTGTCACTGGTATTTTGTATGTTTACAATTCACCAGAGTTTGGATGTTGAATTCAGAGAGTTATAAACAAACCCTCATGTTTTACAGTTTCAATCAGAAACTAGAAGAATATATGAAACTTCCTGGATTCAAATTTCTAGTGACTTGTCTGTCATGTTAATTTTGTGTAAACAAACTACATTCATGCTCTCAATTACAACGCTATATTAAGACCCCTTATGTATTGTTAGGATAGTGACAAAATTTATGAAAGATTTAGATTTACCCTCCATGGTCAAAGGTATTAATATGAACAAAGTTATGGATAGTTGGTGTACTGTTCAAACACCTTGCTTCAATTGCCCAGTTGTGAACACGTAGGAAGATACCCCCTCAACCTAAACATGAGAAACCTGTATTTATTTAACTGTGAGATTGTATTTTGATCATCATAAACATTTTTTATAATTATTATTATTATTAGGTATTTGGCATCGCCTGTGCATTGGAGGTGAAAAGTTAACTGAATCACTGTAACACTCTGGTCTCTCCTCCCGGTATAACTGATTGGGGGTGTGCAGGTGGACCACTACACCGGGGTTTCCCCCTACTGTTATATGAATAGTGCAGTGGGTTCTTAACGTGCAAATGTGGTGACTCGCCTCTACACAGGCCTCCATTTAACGTCCTCTCCGAGGGATGGAGTGTTTTTCACTTAACATAGCCTGCGTCTATGAAACAAGGGAGGGGCATGTTAACACACAACGCAGGCTTCAGTCATCCGCCTTGGTTGGATTTCACTTGCTGTGGAGATGATAGTAGTAGGTGATCATTATGCAAATGAAAGTAAACCTGGATTTTTAAACCGAAACTATACTCTTTGAAAATCTTGTTCTTTCATCCACATACAAGTACCTAGCAAAGCTGCTCTAAGCCAACGCATCCTAAAATATTCATGCCTCCTTGACTTTAATTTGTCAGACTTAAAAAAACACACTAAAAAACAGGCATTGTGATTAGTTTTTTTTTTTCTGTAGTAGATTAGTTGTTTTAATTTTTGTTTGCATCTATTTTGGTGCTGCCTTTTCTTTCCTCTTGATCAAGCCTGGTTCTCTGCTTGTAAAGAAGCGCTTCCATGATAATCATACTCCTTTGTACAGCACATATCATCTCTTCACATGTTGCTTGTCTACATGACGAAACTCTTGCGTATCATTGCTACCGTACAACAGAATAATCATAATAACAATAGTGTGTTCTAGTATAGCGCTCATGTTTGTCAGACTCGACACACTTGGCGCTCCACAATTATTACCCCTGCTTTAGCATGACTGCTATTTTGCGCTAGAGCATTTCAAGGGATTAAATTCCGGCGGGTACCCATTTACCTCACCTGGGTCGAGTGTGGTAAATGTAGACTAATGTCTTGCCAAAGGAAATTAGTGCTTGAATAAGTGACTCTAGTCGTGAACCATGTGATCCAGTCCAGTAGCGTATCCATGAGCTTGCTACATGCAGGGCAAGCATTCTATTACACCATGCCCCTCCCCCTCCCCTGATCAGGGCGTGTACTTCAGTATCCTTAGAGACTAGGGTAGGGTAGGCCAACATAATAACCTAGATTTGACTTTGTGGACTATGTCTGTATATATAGCATCACATGTATGACAACTGCAGCATTTTTTGAGACCTGCAGTGACTTGGGGGAAAGTGATTGTGATATTATGGGGGGTTATTTATGTTTTACTTGTGAATTACTGAAAAAAGAAAATAGCTGCTATATGACAAAGTTTTTGACCTTTTTTTTTTCTCCTCATGATTTTTAGAAGTTGGTAATTTTTTTTCATTCTATGCACAGTGAAATATAAGGTATGTACACAGTACTGCAGAAAAACATCTAAAACAAACGGATTGTTAAGCCATGCATGTTAAAATTAGTTCAGGAGACTATATTGTTAATGTCATTTTTTCAATGAGATACATTTTCTGTTCTGAACGTATTGATCAACTGTAATATGACATGTATTTAGTGACATACATGCAAACCACGTCATTGGAAGAATGTTCATAGACATGGATTATGTTTTACTTGATATCCCTCCTTCACCGTATATTATGTAGAAATACAATCCTTTGCAGCCTCACTGTAACTTTCGCTCCTTAAATCAAAGTTGCTTTCATTGCACCATGGTTGGATGTTGAATTTTGATTTTTATTATTTATGAGCCGCAATGTTTTTTTCTTCTTCATACTGTGTGTCGTCATTTTTTATTTTTTTATTTGAATACCCTGTAGCATCTTTACCATAGTGACTAGTTATAGATATTGTTACTATCGTGAACAGAGGGATTGTATTATACAGAAACCTAAGTTATCATCCCACATTGAAGATAACCATGTATTATGTGGACTTGAAATCAAGAGTATGCATCGCCAGGCTAAAAAACGTACTATCTTTACAATACATCTAAAATAGGCTATATCAATTGTATATGTCATGTCATTGTGTATTTGCATAGGTATGACATAATTATGTAGGTGGGAGGTCAATTTATAGGGTTATGTTGTATGTTTCAGAAGAAATAACTGAATAATATGTTTGTTAATTGAAATTGAATAAAAAAAGCCCAACAGAAATGTTGTTGCTATATATCTATTATCAAAAGTCGCATGCATTCTTCTTTACTCAACTTGTTCTACGCTGTTTCAGAGGGAGAAATGAAAGAGAGGGAGAGAGAGCGCAAGCAGATATAAAAGTAAGAGATAAAAGATTAAAAAAAATGAAGAGTTAGACATAAGAAAAGGAGAGGAATGAGGTGAAGAGAAAGGTGAGAGAAGGGGGAGGAGGAGAATAATAAGGGAGAATGAGGGTGATGAAAGGAGAGAGAGAGAGAGAGAGAGAGAAAAAAAAGGGGGGGGGAGAGAAAGAGAGAAAACGCTGTATGGGTGTGTGTTTGAATTTGAATTTGAATTTATTAACAACAACACATCACAATAATGACAGTACATATGAACAATCATACAATGCAAAAAATAATACTGATACATGTATACATAACATAAGAGTAATGTCGATTGAACAGTAATGGTTTAAAAACGATATTTAGACATACATCTGCATACTATCACGTAAATATGTGTATTACTATATTTAGGTGAAGTTGTTAATGGGAACTAGAAGTTAGCACAAGTGTTAGTCGAGCCTAGTTCCATTCTTTGGCAAGATTTTTTTTCTGTTAATTTGTTTATACATATGAATGTTAAACTTGTTTGTTTTGTATTTACATATATACAACAAAATAATACAGTATCATGTAACTTTTGTAAATATTAAAATGAAAAAAAAGAAAAAAAAAAGTTTAAGTGTTAAAGCATTATAATGAAAGAAGACAAATCTTTGAAC